AGACTATTAAATTGGGAGTAAACCTCCCATGAAACTTCCGCTCATATGCTTTTTTTTTATCAAAATAACAAATTACACTTCTTGATGCGTTTTTGAAATGAAAGCGGTGCTTTTAAAATACCATCAGTAGTAACATTTCGAATTAAATCAATAATTTAGCTTTCGTATTCCTTTTCTCGTTCTTTAAAATGATGGTCGAGGGTCTATTCGGAATTATTGCCCGAGATAACATCCCAAAATTGCTGTACCAACGTTATTTTGGCAGTCGCCGTTATGAGACATGTATCGACATACGAATATAGAACTTCGCATTCAAAGTATCTTCTTTACTATTACGACTATTGTTATTACCATTATTATTCGCTCGGATGTGAATAAGGTGACAGCGATGCTTTTATGGTATACATAATATGTCAAACTGGAAGCCTCGCGCGGTGACAAGGGACTCTTGAAAATTTCGGGCTTCGATCCGTTTTGTAATGGAATTTCTTACCCCTTACTTCTATAAGATGTAGGTACGTTTGTTTTTCGTCTTGAAGTATCTGTATTAAAGTTTTAGACTGCAGGTAGGCATTTGCGGCGGTATGAAATAATGAAATTCTTTCATCGCGGTTACGTATACTTCACAAAAGTACATTTTTTAATATAATCGTGTGTGCACATTGTTTCATTTGCTTCAAAGCAAGAGAAAATTTTAAAAGTGGAAGTTGCAATGTAACTTTTATTTAATCCGACTAGAAGCAATCGCAGCCTGCGTGATCAAGGATCGGCCATGGACTGCACAATGCGTGTTGTTTATCTTTGAGTGTTTGATGTTTTTCCTTAATTTAGAAATGAGAAATTCATTCTAAAGAAAGTTCGTCTTAATCCTCTTTTTTTAACAATACCTACCAAAAAGCCTCGTATAGATTGTTTCATTCAAACAGTCCGGAGATCATGCAATGGATTTAGGTGATCTATGGCTTCAATACTTTTACTGGTGAACTAGTTAAATGTTAGAAAGTAATCAAGCCAAATTGCTCTGAAAGAATTATTTGATCTTCCAGTGGGTTCTTTTTTACATCAAGAATGATTGCATCATGTTTTATTACTTCGTCTCTACAACGCTATGAACCTTTCATTATAGGACAAATGGTATAATAATGGAAATGCAACCTGCTTTTCCGTCTCAATAAAGAACTACTATACACGGGTGTCATCCATGGTTTTAATAATTTTCGATGAGTCTTTTTATTTTTTACATTGAACTGCAGGTACGTTCTTCAATTATTTTGCTGCGGAGGTCAGATGATCTCCGGTTAGCCCTCAGATAAATTTTACGGTGACCTACTGAACATATCCCCTTCTTTTCTCTCCTGAAAGCAACTTAAAATCATATTTTTCTAATTTTTGAACAACTGATTTCTCTGCTGACTACATTTTATGCTAACCTGCAAGAAACACCAATTTAGCGATCGATTAAGAAAGCTGATCATTTGATAATAAAAAGACACGGATATATGAGTCAGTCGTGGAAAAGATCTGTTTAGTTGGAAATTTGTGCTTAATCCGAGAAAACCACAAACGCTTTTTTGGGGCCATTCATAATTCATTTTGCTGGAAACATTGAATATCCAACTCCTTAATGTGTAACCTTCCTTTTTTTACCAAAAATCGACTGCACCAAAATTTCTCCGGAAAACACTTTTTCTTATTAATTTTGGTGCGTAGAATCCAAATCAATTCGTACTTTTTCGATCAGACTTCTCAATCAAAAGTTATAGACTAGAAACCAATTTCGAAAAAAAATTCAAAGCGCTGTAACTTTTGAACTAGTAGCCCAATCTTGGAACTGTTTGAAATTATGGATTCTACAGGCCACATTCTATAAGACAATTTTTTTTCCGGGTCGATCTGAGACAATTTTTTCTTCGCGCCTGAAAAAAAGGCAGTGTACAACCATTGAATATCCAAGATATTTAATGCTGGAAGGTACAATTGATAATATAAAATATAAATTGCCAATGTAATGGTGTGTCGAGCCATACAGCGCCTTCTTACGCAGGTGTAGGCAAAAAACGTTGCTTTCGTTTGAGAAATTCAACAATGGCATCCTTTGTACTTGAAACTTATACATTACAGCGTCTCCAGAGTTAGCCGGATTGAGATTGTCTTAATACATTTTCTTTAAAGTTTACGTCACTTAAATTTACTTTTCTTATATCCGAAATGTTATTAGTTTACCTTATAGAACTTTTACTGCCTTTGTTTCGCTACGGCAACGGCCACTTTAATGTTATTGAGAGCCTTAATTTCGCTACTTCGGAGAAGGTGTAAACTTTACAAGTGTTTTTCTGTGCGAGAAAACGACGGTTTTGTATCTTCTTAAAGCTTTTACAGTAGTGAAATCTTTTCTTTGTCGTCTAACGTTCGCTGCAGATTTAATACGAACCGCTTTCTCTTATACTTTCTCAGAAGTGTATGTGACAGCTAAAATTAAAGGAATAGAGATCAGTTTATTTAAACAAGAGCGATGGTAACATATTTGGGATGATTTAAAAACTCGTCGTACAAGGCTTACCCCCTTAGATAAATTCTCATTCGCCTTAGCTCCTTAAAAGAGCCTATAAGATATATTTCACTTTGTTTCTGAGTAGTAATGTCTGAGAATTGAGTACAAAGTGACTATTTCGTAGTCATTTCACCTTATTCGCCCCCAAATAAAAGTCGTTCCAACCAAGAAGTCCCGGGAAAATTATCACCTAAACATTTTCAGCCAGAAAGTTTGACGGCAAAATTTGCGCCATCAGTCCATTCGGTCCTTACTACGGCAAACGGTCATTAAACGACCTAAAAGAAATTTTTAGTGCATGTTCATTTAGAGCAGGAATGTGGGGTTTGACGCCTCAGCCATTTCTCGTTCAGAAAAATACCAGAACGAGATGCTGCTAAATGGGCCAAAACTACAAAAAGATTTGCGTAGAAATAGGCAAATAAAAACCTCCATGTTAACGGCCAAATCTAAAGTGGCCCAGATGAAGTTGAGGAAAACTTGGGACGAGCTTTCCTGGATGCATTTTCAGAGATGAGTGTGAATATTCCAGGAAATATGTATCTGTGGTGAAAAGTACAGGACGCACTTGTTACTTTAAGGGGAGAAAAGTATAACAACTTGTTCCAATTGTGAGTGAGGGATTTAATGTAGGAAACTGAAATGTGAATGACTTATGGGCTTGATAGTGACATCAATCTACCTACTGACCGTTTGTGGTTTATCGCATAAAACGGAATATCTGGAATTGTCGTAATTGCTCAATAAATTACAGGCGATGCGCGAAAACTAACTAAGGGATAACGCATTTTGTTAGAGGCCGACTGAAAGGAAAACCGACAAATGTCATATTGATTTTCCATATTTTTTTGCGTATGCTACGATCCTAAAAATGGTAAAAGAAAGCTCTAAAAGGACGTGATATCTCATTAGGTTGCACACCAAAATTTGCAATATTCAAAGGACTTCAAAATGCTCTATTTCTTTATTAATCTAGTTATAGAGCAAATTTAATACGATTCAAAAATTGTTAAATTAGACAGCATGCCCTTTCTGTAATAAGATGTCCCTATCGTCCACTTTTAAGATTTCGCATCCTTCGTCCTCAATTTCAGAGTCACCTGATCGCAATCGGATACTCAAGTGCGACTCTCAAATTGTACAAAAATTTGCATCTATTTTATCCTACGCCCAACAGACGCGAATTAAAAGATGTAATAGTCCACAGTGTAGCTGAGAATATTGGGATACACAGTGAGCAAGTTATAATTGGATGTAATTACTAATTATCCCTGTTTAGTAACACTCTCACTGTCGCATAAGATGTACCTACGTCAATATGTGTAGACAATCTTAGTGGCATGCGTTAATTAAACTTAGTCTAACTGTGTAATTAGTTTTCCTAATCAGCTGTGTATGAATTTCCAAACTATCGATCGCTTCACAAGCCTATTAATGTCATAAGGGCTTACCATACACGTGTACGTATTGGTTTAGATGACATTCTCCCGTCGTTTGTCATCCGCTTCTTATACGACGACGAACAGTGACTTATTGTGTATCCTTTCCAATGTACATTATTAATCATTCTTTGTTATTACCTGAAAGCAGTAACCATATCTGAGCTTTTCACTGGTATTATTCCGCGCCCTGTATTTTTCTCTCGTATTATTAACTTTTCTCGACATTCCAAAGGATATAAATGATACTCCTTTAGCTGCAGCAGTCGGTGCTAGTCGGAAAAAGAGCATTATTTTATACATCTGTAGTTCTTTTTACCGTTATTATGCCCCTAGGCCACTTTATTTTAATTTCAGTTGTACATTATTTAAACTCAGAGGCGGTATTCGGCCTGTATTGTGGGACTTCAGGTTTATTGCATGATCTAGCTTTATCCTCACTTCTATGCCTGCAAGCAATCAGAAGTTTTACTCCCGTTAAACTTTGTTATTAACTGAAACATTTCACTAAGTGGCAAATTCTACCCTTTAACTTTTTACTAATCTTTATTCAACTAGGGAAGGCGATAACATTTTTATGGTTACAAATTCCAAGTTTTGCGATTAACGATCAAAGGAGGGTGTAGCACTAATAACCCAGTAGTTGATGAGCTGCACCTTTAAAAAAAAAAAAAAAAAATCCCTTTTTGGCGGTTGCCAATGTATGGAAGAAATATTTTTCTTGTTTTTCAGATTCTACTTGACATTTACAACTAAAATTTGGTGTAGGGCTGACTTACCACCCTAATGAGAACCACTAGCTATCGGTAACTCTACGACGTTGGCTTCATTACTTGCGTTGGTTCCGCCGTTGGTTTTAATGACCACGTTAAATTCACAGAACTGTATTTTCAATTGCTCTATTTGACATTGGACACCGTATGCAATATTACTAGAGTACTTAAATGATATTTACGCTTCCAATACCTAATGATTAGGAACGTCCCAATTTTGAAAGTGATCTGCAATAGTTCATTTGGTAAACTTTATTTATCCTTAAACACAAAACTAAATTAGTATGACAAATTTCGATAGCGACAGTGTAGCTTAATTATAAATTAATGAATTTGTGTCAAAAATTCCTGGCTCCCAATAGAAGAGGATTCACTCTCGAGTCTTTGTTTGCTCACCGTTACCTTACTGATCGGATTGTGAAAATCAAACTCGTGATCGTCATCATCTCGCTTACATCTGATCGCCATTAAGAAGCATGTCCGGAACTCAGAGTTAGTCACCATCAACACGCCAAAATTTACGAGATTTGTACCGAATAGGCACATCGTTACAAAAGTTTCGAAAGCTCTTCCATAATATCGCAGGGTCATCATTTGAACTATAGTTAAAATACAGCCAATGGCGTAAATGGTACCGAACGTTAAGTTTAACGTCGGGGAGATAATGCCAGATTGCCGCAATCTCTGGACAAGCCTTGAGACTTGCAATCCGATCACCAGCACAGCTATAATACAGTAAGTGGACATTAACGACCAAGCGTGATGCACGAAATACGAGTAAAAGCGGAAGCAAATGGCGGACGATGCAGTTCCGTACACAAGGGCGATCAACCAGATTACGCCCGCAATCAAAACGTAATTGTCGCGAAATTTCTCGGACGCCCTTCCGAAAAATGCGGCAATAAGCCAATCGATTAAAACTATAATGACGAACAAGTTAACCGCGATATGGAACGTTGCTCCAAACTCTTCTAGGAAGCACAGAAACTCGTGGGTTATGTTGCCGCTTGTTATAATGGAAAGTATTTTATATCCGCTTGGCGTTATCATGGCGCACAGTAGATCAGCGATAGCCCAGTTTGCGAATAAGATGTTGGGTACAGTGCGCAGTCGTTTATAGCAAAAGATTGTGTGGAACATGGCAATATCAACACACATAACCGCTATGAAGAATATCGTCAAAGCAATTTCCATGCCAAGGCGACTGCTCATAACCGAGTAGGTTAACTCCGCCTTATCGTTTAACGTTATATTACTTTCGACGTCCATGCTGTTATCCTGAAAGTGTAATTTATTTATAACAATTAAACACTCTGATTGATTACTTACTTATTTGTCTAGTTATTCGGTATGTCTCTAATTCGACGACAAGTTCGCTTATGTGAAGTAAATACGATAATGAAGAGAGATAAATAAATTATTGAAAAGGTTATCAATATTATGTAGACCAATTGTGTAATTAACTTTTAGATTAATCTGGAAAATATAGCCTTTGGCTTTGCAGCCTGTAGGTTTCCCACTCATACTCTGGTGTAAAGTTGCTGAACACCAGTGCAGATTTTCTGGTTTTCAATCATAATTGTTGATCAGTGGCCTAGCTACAGTTCCATAAAACTTAAAAATCGGTACTTGGAAGTAAACAGGGAATTTTGAAAATGGGAATTACTTGGAGGAGAATTTAGAGAATTCGTTCTACTGAAAAAGGAACTTTTCCGTGGCGGATGATCCATAAGGTATAATACGATACGAAAAAAGTCGTGATAAATTTTAGGAAAACTGCATGGGAATGTTAAATATCCACGTCCTTTTGTCGTAGATACAGAAAAACATGCGAGTAGCTCAATCGGAGATTGAGACGAACGCGTACACGTCTTTATAGGGGTATGAAAGGAGATTATTTGAAACATGTGTATAACCTTCCTTTTTTCCAAAAATCGACTGCACCAAAATTTCTCGGGAAAACACTTTTTCTTATTAATTTTGGTGCGTTGAATCCAAAACAATTCGTACTTTTTCGATCGGACTTCTCAATCAAAAGTTATGGACTAGAAACCAATTTCGAAAGAAAATTCAAAGGGCTGTAACTTTTGAACTAGTAGTCCAATCTTGGAACTTGGAACATTTTAATTTAGAGAAGTTATATATGGTTTCGTAACTTCTTGTATTAAAGTCATATGAAAAACCTGTCAAGTGTAAAGTAAAACATTAAAACTCTTACGAAAAATATGTTGGTAGTAAATATCATATAACATATCATATAAAAAATCATGTGAGATATAGTCTAAAGGTACCCTTTAGGGTGTGTAAAATGACGTACACGTTACTCAAAATTATGTTGGTGTAGAATGTCATATGAAAGCGGTTACATGAGTTAGAAACCCCTCCTTATGGAAAATAAATTTTATTCGCTACGACACTGGTAAACATGTTACTGAAGAATCAATTTTTTGTAATGAAATATTTAATACCACGGTTAACTCAGTAATGAATTATTAATGACTCATCTGAATAGCGTTGATTCAATATATTGTGGAAAATAACCTCGTTCCAACTCCACTTGTAATTTAAAAGATTGACATAAAAAATAAAGTTATAATCCTGTCTCATGTCGTGTCCCAATCTAATTAATTGCCTATATCTTTATAATATTCGTAAATAATCAAACACCTGGCACAAAATTCTATTCAAATCAATTTACACGCTTCTGGATGCTAAATAAAAAATTTAACCCACATAAAAGAATGGTATTAATGAACTTAAAAAAGTGACAATTAATGAGAAAAAAATGAAACCAGTATCTTTGGTTTGGGTTCCCTTATCATTCATAAAAAGTACACAACTTTTTTCACGGGATAAATCACAGTTAATTGACGTATTCAGGAACGTTAGAATGACTTTTAGTGCAAATTTCTTATACAAAATTTCTCACGGAGTATGACGATATTAAAAAATTACCTTTGAATCCTGGCCACGGTCGTCTGAATTCAAAAGGGCGCTCTCTGCCAGTAATCTGCAATCGGATTAAAACGAAAGTGATAGTGCGGCTTATAAAATCTAATGTTTGTCACGTCGCGTCGGTTTAATCGATACAACAGCCGTAATTAATACACAATAGAAAGCAATAATTCAATTTACGGTAAGAACAAAAGCAAAATGTTGACTCTATAGGAGTTGTCGGTACAAATCGGCAACGTACAAAACTAAATGGAACGTAACATCTAAAACTGATTTATAAGAAGGATTGAAACGTAATTTTTGATTCAGTTTTGTCTAAGAATTAAGCCCGTGAACGCGAATTTCGTAACGCCCTGTATATTCCATTTACGGACTGTGTTTTTGAGACAAAATTCAATTCGCCGCAACGCTCGGTTTTAACTAAACGCAGTGTATCATTTGCAGGAATTTTTGGTAAAAAGAGATGCGGCATCAAAGAACCTTTAATTCCATCTTCTACATAACTAGATTCTTAATTATTTAGTTTTTTACAATACGAAACTTAACTAATATCAGTTAACAACTCTTCGCTTAACCTACGACGCGAAATATTACTACCATTTTGATTATTTCTAATAGGATTATTAAAATCGAACGTACCATCATCCTGGTTACCAGTGCACCGTACGGCTTGCATTAAGCACGATCTAAAATCATTATTAAAGGTGCAAATCAAAGCTAAATTTACTACACTGCTACAAAATAAGAGAATGAAAAAAAGTACTTCCACTGATTCGATTCTGGCAAGCAAATGAACGAATAGCATAAGGATGCTGAATATCGTGCAGAAAATGTATGCGGTTGCCAAGTTTAGAATCAGTGGAGACGACGTAAATGGTGATTTTCTCAATTTTTGAATGAGCCTAGACAACTGGAATATTATTACTAGTATTAAAACTAAAGCGTACGTTATAGACGTTATGAGAACGTGGTGGATAAGCAAGGAAAAATAGTGAAAGCAGATCGATGTGGAGACACCAATAACAACAATGGAAATTGTCCAAATGGTTCCTATCACGTGCACGTAGTATGCGTGGAACCGTTCCGATGCACGTCCAAAGTAAGCGCCGATAAACCAGTCAGCTAGCGTCACAATAACGAAAACATTTGTGGTGAAGTGTAGGGTTGATCCAATATCGGATATGACGCAGGCGAAGTTGTGATCCAACGAGTTGTGAGTTATAAACGATAACACCCTGTAGGAGCTGGGCGCTACCATTAAGCAAAGCATGTCGGCTATCGCCCAATTCGCCAAAAATATATTCGGAATGGTTCGCACTCGTTTGTAGCAGAAGATCGTGAAGAAAATACAGATATCGGCGGCCACACCGATCATAAATGCGATAGTTAGAATTACCTCTTGGGCAATTTGGGCATTCGTCGCCGAATAACTAATTTCCCCATTGTCGTCCGTTGTCAAATTTGCTTCGTAGCCGTAGTCCATGTCCTACAATTGTTTATTGTATTTCACGTTTCTGTATAAACAGTACTTACCCTACCAATAACGCAATGCTCTGTCGCGGCGAGTGACTTTTGGACTGAATGCTTAGTATTGGTAAATAAGGATAGGAGCTATTTACTTAATCTCTTTGCAGTGAACTATGCTCTTGGGTTATCTCTGTTTGTAAGAATTCCTTAAGTTTTGAGAAAGGTCGCATGTCCTTGGCACGTTTTAAATTTGAAACATTTTGAAACGAAGGGGTGTTCCTGTTCAGGGTTCTTCACTAGAGACTTCGCGCATTCCAGGTGGTATGTCGGCATTATGGTCACTGTGTCATATTTGCGACGGTAGCCATGCACACTTTTTAACTCGATTCTGTTCCGTGTTCATAACACACGATGGCACGACGAGTTTTCAGGAGATTTTTTTCGCACAAAGTTGGTGAGTTGATAATCGACATGGCATATTTGTGATTAAACATCGTTTAGAAGCCTTTCTGGAATCAAATTAATCTCTATAGACTCGCTACAGTAGCCCTTTCCATGCAATCAGACTGGCTTGGGACAAGTGAAGAGGCCCCCTTTCTTCTTCAACAACAACTTGAGAAGGATGTTTAGGTCTACTGGGTTTCGTATTCTATAAAGCGGCGATGTGGAACTTTTTGGTTGTACGGCTAACGGGATGTTAATGAAAAGGCAACACGAAGAGTAAACGAAGAAAACCTTTCAGAGATTTTTTAAGTTGATAGCATTTCTTTTGGCGTTCCGGTCATTTGGTGCTCCGCGTAATGAGTCAAAATGCCCTTTGACCTAAAGAACTCTACCTTTCAATTCCTGATCCCTCGGGGCGATGGAAACGATTACCACTACTTTTATCGTCCTGGTTTTGCCATTTAGTGCATACATTCTGGAACGGGAACGAGTAAGGAGAAATCATGGTGACAAGATGAGTGATCTCTTGCCGTGGGCCCTTTTTTATTTTGATCCTTTTTGGAATTAAATCAAAGGTTCCATGTAAAAAGGCAACAAACCCCTCTCTTTTTAGGGTGGGGTGGGAAATAAAAGGGTTTAAACACTTTGCAGTTTACATACCTATCTTTGGTACTAGTACGTCGGTTTTAGAATTATAAGGGTGTAGGTATCACAGCTTCAACGCATGCGTGTCCTTTTTAAAGTCAAGCTCTCTTAGAACCGTACATTTTAAATAGTTCATCTAAAGAGGAATTAACGGGTTAGTGATTTCTTTCCCTTTGAAACCCTTCACAACTTGGAAAGTCAAGGTATTCGGCTCTATAGGAACAAAACGTTTTACTTGACCCAGCGTCGTTTTCTCTTAATGAGCCGAGTACATCAACTTCGGTAATTTCACCACAAATTTGCTTTCCCCATCAAACCTTTCTTCTGCCAAGGTTTGTGCCGAACTCGCCTTCGGCTCGCTCGGCATTAGTTTTAAAGCTATCACTTTTGCAAACTGCAACCTAATTTTTAAATCTTCACGTTAAAGTAACAGTTCCAGTTCAAAAACCCAGGCAGAGTAAAGGTCTGATGGGGTAAGTCCATTTGGATAATTTCGCCGCAAATTGTTATCTGTCTGTTATTAAACTTCTACGCAAAAGTAACAGTTTTAAAACTTACCCCATCAAACCTTTCCTCTGCGTAGGTTTTAAAACTATCACTTTTGCAAACCTGGGCTCGTTCAGCATTAAAATAGGAATATTAACAATAACAGTTTTAAAACAATGCTGAGAGAATCGAAGGCGCGAGCTTGGCACAAACCTAGACAAAGTAATGGTCAATTTGTGGCGAACTCGCCTGACATTGATTTTAAAACTATCGATGTTTTGGAAGGTTAATAACAGATTTGTATTAATGCCTAACGTTCCAAAAGCAATTTTGTTTATCTTTATTTATCTTTATTTATTTATTTATTTATTTATTATCCCTCTCTTGTTCTGGGCCCTCAACAAACAATTCCAACGTGTCGATAACGAAAATGCATTCAAACGTTAAGCCCACGGAGTAACGACAAATTAGAAATGTTACCTTCGATTATTAGCCCCAGTCGTACCGAACTCAGAAGGGCGCTTTTTGCCCATAATCTGCAATCAGACAAAACACAAAGCAAAAGAGAGTGCGTGATAGCATGGCATGCGAGACAAATTAACGTGTGACACGTCGGGTAACTTGAACACGAAAAATGTAACTAACATTCAATAGAAACCAATATTTCAATTTACTGTCTGTATAAAAATCGGTAATATATAAACTAATCGTTAACGGTGATTCCAGAAAAGGCAGAGTAAAAGTCTGATGGGTTAAGTTAATTTTTGTGATTAAATTTCTACGTAAAAATGATAGCTTCAAAACCAGTGCCGAGAGAGCCGAAGGAGAATTCGGCACAAATCTAGGCAGAGTAAAGGTCCAATGGGATAAGTCGACTTGTGCCGAAAAGTATCGCTTTTCTGGAAGTTTAAAAACATATCTAGCTGTCCAAGAGCAATTTCAACCTTCTACCAGCAGGTCTTTACTGTGCCCTTGTTTTAAAGTTATCACTTTTACGTGGAAATTAAATCACAGGCTTATTTTCTAGCTTATTTTTTTAAATTTTATTCAGGGCAGAACTTACTTTTTCTCGTCTTTCGCCCAGTATCCCAGCATTATGGCAACATCTCAGCGACGCAGTCAAATTTAAAGATGCAGCTACCGTTGAGGGCGTTGAAGCCGGCCTCGTGTCATTAAAATAATAACGTAGAATAGTACCTGAATGCATAAGGTCCTGTGGACCAAAGGTTTTTTCTCCGAGATCGAAATTCTACGGAAAAGTGAAAGCTCTCGATAGATGCCACCTTTAAACCTATGGGATCATTTATCATCAAAAAAGAAAGATGTCAAGACCATTATTTATAGAACATCGGACTGCTTTTTTGCCCTCTCGAGTGTAGTCACCATTATAGTTAATACAAAATACAAATCCAATCGTTTCGTACGGGTTCAGCGGTTCATTTTGCATGCGATGCTCGCGTTTTCGCTGATGTTTTCAAGCGATTTTTTGGTTTTAAACTGTGGGAGGATTACACATTGAACATAAGTTACAAATTTCACGACCCAATATAAAATGTCTTAAATCTTTCGTGAAAGTCATCGCTTGAGGCCGTTCCTTTACTGGATTAGTAAATAAGATTTTCTGAAATCTTAAGCGATGAATTCTTATGCTGGAGCTAAAGACACACAAACAATTTTTTAGTATGATGAATAGCCGACAGGATCTCCCGTTCCTCATCCTATACCTAAATTTTTGCTGGCCATTTCCCAAACTGCCATAAATGTTTTATAAGCGAAATAAAATAAGGTCTACACTACAATTAACTGCAAAGTACTTTACGTCGAATTTACGTACATACGATACGAGGTATATGGTTTTCTATTTCCATCCGGCATTAAAATGCAATTTATATATTCGCCGCTCTAGCTCTTTATGGCGGCCCGTATACGAGCTTAAAGCACAACTGGCTGAAAGCACTTAGATCACCGTATCGTTAACGTTTGAGAGCTTGTAAAAACTCGCAATTTTCCAATTATCCTGCCAGTTTTCATTAAAGGTAGGATGCGCCCGTCTGCGTAATAAACATGTCGCGTGGCAAATAGTCGAAAGAAACATCGTCGTGATTTATAGTTTCACTGAAAAGGTCAATGTTGACTTATGCTAACATCAATCCCCAAATGTCAATAAGATTCATTGTGTATTTAGGAACGATCTCCCCCAAACTCCATTTTAATTCAAATGGCGTTTGTCTACCTGCATTCGTAGCAGAAGAAACCAGAAGGGCAAATGGCTTTGAGGGGGCCAATCAGTGTAAAATTATGATTACCAAAATACCGAAACTAGCACCTAACCAATGAGTTTACGTAACTGCCTAACTTCGTGCATAACACCATACTAAGTGTGTGCTTGTACAATGTCTTGGCACTTTTTATTGCATATCCTAAATTGATGTCTTATCAGCGTTTGTTTTATTTCAGAATACCGCAGTTGAAGAAGCAGCAGCCGATAGTCTCGTAATGTAAGTGTACTTTATTACTTAACATAAAACTCGCGGTGAATAGCATCCCACGCCTTAAACTCGCGCAAAAACTGTCACAAAAGTAATAATTTTGCATGAGGCACTCTATTGTCTGATATTTTACAACCGCTAGAAATTGAAATTGAGAATTGAGCGACGTCTGTAGCGGTATATTGTCTTATACAAAATTGATTGCCATCAGGAGCGTGACTTATAATTTTAATTGATGGTGGTGGCAGTTTCAGACAAATCCAATTTTTGTGTCTGTGTGTCGGAATTAACGATTGTATCTGTGGGCTTCACGAAATAATTGCATTACAAAACTACAATCACTATCATACTTCGAATTTAATTTGAATCAACAGGAGTCTCGATTAATTGATTTGATAAATATAATCTTATGCAGGAGCATTGCGTTTCTGTATTTTTGCTTCTCTTATAAGATAAGGGTAACGAGAAAAGTTAAATGGGGTCATTGAGAAATCCTATTATTATATTTTTTAACTTCGTGGATGTCTTAATGGTCTTAGGTACCATAGGCATTTCAGTTATTTACTTGCACTGTTAAATTAGTCCCAAAAATAATTATCTCGGGCCCTATACAATTGAGTGTGTAATACCTGTAAAGGTATCAATTAAAGAATCTCTGAGTTCGACGCGTTTATAACAATTCCCAGCACACACTTTACGTTTAAAAACGGTTTTAAACCGTTTTGAAAGGATAAATTCGGTATTGGTAGTATGGTATACGTTTTTATGTAGACCGATTTTATACCTACGTTTAAAATACGATTTTTATTCATGTATATATAAATCATAGAGTTCACTTTCTACGTTGGTAACGTGTATAAATAACCGTTTCTTAGCAATCGTTTTATAAACGTATATAACACCACTTTAATATATGCATATGCGCAGATAATTCGTACATCAATGGGAAATAATAAACGCATAATATTCCTACAAGAATACAGCAACATCCGCCGGACATTTATGCGTGTTATATATGTAGGGTTTTAGTCTACCATAAACGCTTT